TGGCTCCGTGTTTTATGTATGTAAAGCGGCTTAAATTTTATATCCTGCTACCGTATTCATTTCTCCTATCATTTAATTTTAGCTCTGATTTTCTTGTATTTTCCAGTCATACTATCATATCATCTCCAAAAGATGGTTCTTCTTCTTCCTCCCTGGTTCTTATACTTCCGATTGTTTTGTTCTGCTTGATTGCTGGCTAACATTTTCAGTACTGCGGTAAATAGTAGTGGAGATGTTGGGCGTTACCGATTTGTGTGCCCTCCTCCCTGGAACTGCCTATAAATTAAGGAAAGAAAAGGCTCCTATATTCCAAAGAATGTAACTCTGGATGAAGCCATTTCCCCCACCCCACAGAATGAACCATCTGAGAGTTTAATGTAATACTTAAAAGGTACAGTGGCTGGTGTTAGGTGACCGTATTCATAGTCCCAATTTTATATAATGTTACTCTTCTTAATAAAGTTGTTTCGAGTGGGTGTTCGTGGGATTTAGTTGTATGTTTTTGTAACATTTTAAATAAGACTCACCCTTTAAGAAAAGTTCTTGGACATATGTTGCAGGTAGGCTTTCCTGTTACCTGTTTGTATGCTCAGGCTGTTGGTAAATAGACTTATACTCTGAGAAACAGGGTCAGGAAGGCATTATGAGGTAATTATGTTTTTTTCTCCCTTCAATACTAGCTCAAACAACACTAGAAATTATGTATATGCCTTTAAAATTACACTTTCACTGCTTAATTTTTATAAACTTTAGGATAGAAGCATAGTCAAAGTACTCATTTCTATTTATTATAAAACAGAATTACAAATGCCACATGTAACTTAGGTAAGTATGCATACATGTGATCTTTAGTAGCTAATCTGGTGTAGATACTGAGCACTTACAAGTTAAAGCTGACAGACCAGAAAACTGCATTACCTCCTCCCTTATCATAGGATTCCTCATTGGTGAGCATGGTATCTCCAAAGAAATGAATTAGGTGATAGATTGCATGGGGTTGGGGAGCTGGTGCTGCTGCTCACTGAGTTTTCCCTTTGTTCCAGCCAGCTACTACATTGGTTGTAATGAAGCTGGGAAAGATGGATCAGTGCTACTAGAAAAAATTCAACACATGCTTTCTTCTGAGTGAACCTTTGTAATTGATTTGATACATAGAAGAAAACACATTCCCAGGCAAACATGGAGTACTGGAAGGGAAAGAAAGCTCTGGATTTTGAGTCTTGTCATCTGGGTTCTAATCCCAGCTCTTTTTAATCTTGAGCAAGTCTTTTATCTTTGTTAGGTTTTACTTTTCCTTTCTGTAAAATAATAGGTTGGCTTGTACTGTCGTCACCTCTAAATTCTCAGACAATAGAGAAGATGTGAGCATAGTGTAGACTGTTGGCATGTTAATGCTCTTATTTTAGGCATTTTAATTCTAATATCCCTCTTTATTTTGGCAGTCGTTAAGGTATAGGGAATATATGTATTATGTATGTGTGTATGTATATATAGTACATTCTAAATTTACATGAGAATATCCTTTAGGCTATCCTTAGAACATCCTTTACGAGTATCCTGTAGGCTAGCACAATTTGTTATGGAATGGTTCTGTCGGATCTATTCTTAACTCTTAGAGTGACAGGAAAATTTCCCTTTCATTTTCAGGATCTTAAGACTCTTCTAATACAGGAGCATTATCCCAGTCCTATTTGTTGCTGCTTTAAAGTCTTCAGAATTCTTTGAAACGTTTTGTCCTTTGATGATGATCTCTGTAAATATTCAGTTTTTTCCTTTTGGGCTGTTGTGTTAGGGAAACCGATGCTTTCAGTTTTCAGTCTGTTAAAGCTGTTATTACTTGAGTCATCTCTTGATATTTACCTTATCTGTGCGTTATGTCCTCTTTCTTCATTTGAAGAGTCTGATTACTAAATCAGGGTTTTCAGAGAGGAACCCAAAGCAGGAAAACAACTATAAACCTACTTCATTTTGAAAATCATTGTTTTTCCAATAAAATGTCAAAATAGTTTTTCTGCAAAGTGCATTCAATTGTAGAATAAACATGTTTAAGATTATGTTGCTCTTTAGATCCGAGAAGCAACCCTTTCTTGGCTTTTCCCCATGTTAGAGCTATTTATTTGTCACAGAGCAGGAAGAAGTGTTGAAAGGTTACAAGAAAACATAGGAGTAGATGAATGTGACTGAGGCTTCTGGGAAGAAGGTGAGTTTTTGGCACAGTTTTAAAAGTAAGTGTGGGTTGTTGTTAAAGTATTTTCCGAAGTAACTTAGATTGCTTTTTAAAATTGGATTTCTTTAATCTTTTGTTTCTTATATGTTAAACCATGGAATAAAACTGTTTCCTGTCTTTAAATACATTGTTAGAGCATAGTACTTAGTCCCAGATATATGAGTGATACTGGGCATCTCTTGGTCTCAGGAGTCAGAAGATGTGTGAGACAGATAAATCTGCAAGTTTCAGAGTATAAAATGTAATCTAATTGAGTACACATTTTACATCTATTTCTTCATAATTGAAAACAGTTGACTTAGTGCAAAAATAGCTACTAAGATTTCTGTGTTCAGGTATTTTCAGAAATACGGATTTCGATATCAGCTAAAATCAAAGCACGAGATGTGGTGAGCTAATTTCTAGAAAATATACTCCGATAAATGCACAGGAAGTACATGACCATCATAGAATAATTCTTTTTAAAATGAAGGTTTACTTAATCACTAATTTGTAGTTTTATATACCAGTCATTACTGTGTTTTTTGTAAATACTAACTTATTACGTTATCATAACAACACTAAATATTTATGTTTTCATGGGAGCATAGTTTAAATGCTTTTGCTAAATTTAGTCCATTTTTCCCAGTTCATTTAGTAAAAATAAGTTATTCAATAAACTGCACTTAGTTTCTTTAATAACCTCATTTTGTGGTGAAAATTCTGCACTGCCCAGTGGTTTCACAAAAATAACATTTCATGTTGTAAAGTTTTAAGTATTTTAATAATGGGCATTTGATAGATATTCTGTATTACATATGTTTGTGATACAGGGAAAAATAATAAAGACCTAGACAGCTTACTTCATGTCATAGGCATTTATTTTGTCTTATTTACTTTTGCACAAAGTAATTACTTTGGAACTTTTGAGAGCATGTAGATTTGAAGGTGGATGATTATCTCTATATAGCATAATGTATCATCTTATCCTTTTTATGGGACTTTGTTCTTCTGCCTTCTGCAGATGGAGAGAGATGGAAAAAAGCTACCTCATATTTGTATGGAAGGTGCTCTTTTTCCAAAGTATTTTCTAATTTTATTGTGAGGTTTTACTGTTGGGTTCCTTTGTTTGAGGGCCTCTTCCAATTTCTTTGTTTTAAGTACTCATATTGTGGAGACTTTGCTTTGTGATTCTCTCACAGCGATGGAATTATACCAAGTTATCTCTCTTGTACATTTAATATATATGACGCTAGACAGTTCTCTGGAACTGTTCAGGTAGACCCAAAACTATATTCAAATAGGTGTCTATGTATCATGTCCTGTCTACCACTCCCTGCCCAGTAAACTGTGTGTTGTCCCTGTACTATTTCTGACTCAACTAAAGGTTAATGTAGCAGGAAATGAAATTTACCTTTCATTTTGCCTTGCTGGTGGAATTAGTAGGGGGTGGACAGTGATTATCTGACATATTCTGAACACGTTTTGGAGAATAATTATCTGCATTTATCTGTATTATTTGGAAGATGCAGTTAAAAGTCATTAGTATAGATTGTGTTTCTTGCATTTGAATTAAACCTGATATGCAGATCTCTAGTGTGGACATTCAGTAAATATTTTTAAATAGGGAGACTTGGGTTTATTTCTAGCTCGGCTACTAAATAGACAGTTTTCTCACTCTGCTATCTATACCCTTTAAGAGCTCAACTGGTTTGCATGTCACTAGGACAAGTTAGAGAGCCAAAAAGTACAGTGAGTCAAAATACTGAGTGTTTTAAGAGAAAAACAGCTGGCGGTGGCATGGTGGGCTGCTCTGACGGCGAGAGGATGGGACCCGATGTGCACTTCCTGAGATGAACTGGCCAGATGGGGTGAAGGGAGCACGGGTCTGTCCAGGTGTCGAACCAGATACACATCGCAGCGTTAGTTGGTCTCGTCATCTGGGAACGTAGAAATCGCCCAGGGCTGGAATCATTTCATTTTATTTCTGTGATGAAAAGCTCAAATTTTATTTGGCCCTGGGCCAGTGAAGGCGTGGTTAATATCATGGATTCTTTAGAACCATTTTGGGAGTCATTTCTTTTAAATTAGTGTTCTTCCTACAATTAAATATAGAACATTGAATTTTGACGCACACCCTCTCCTTCCCACCTGCTCTGTCATTTACTTCCCACCCACTCTTGCCCAACACTCTATCGAGCTTCAATTTTCTTTTTACCTATTCTTCCATCTATCAAACTATTTCTTTTCTATGGCACTGTATAAGATGAGAACGGCTGTGTGTGTCAGTATGAGATCAGTGATTATGTGTCAGGTAAGTATCTGGATGCAAAGAAGCCGCATCCGACTTCTAGCTCTACTACTACGTGACATTATCTAAGGAGCCATGCTGCTACTTAGGGCAAAACAGGAGTGGACTCTTGCCCTCTTTTTCCTTCTCCTCCTGGATTGAAAGAAGAGTCGGGTGTTGTGGTTTTCTGCTCGTTGTGGTCGGGAGCTTCTCCCTTGGCCTAGTATCAGGGTCACCTGTTCCAATCCTAGTTTCTCCAAAGAATGAAGCACTGATCCTATCCCTCTCCTGCACCCCTTCCTAAATGAGCTCCTGTTTCAGTTTTAGATAAAGGCATTCATTCACAGTTCCTTGACCAAAATGCAGAGGGAGATGCAAGAGGAAGCCTTCCTATCATCCGGTTTCCTCGAG